TAAATACATACCATATGTCAGAGACCCCCCAAAAATCAAGATTCTTAGTCTGAAACAGAATTTCTCACATTTGTGATTTTTCTTTATCAAATTCTTACAAATGTGTCAATATCCAGTGATACTTTGTCAAATATTCAATATATCATCTTTTTAAAAAGGAATACATTTATATGCCTGAAATATCTAGTAAGTATGGGTGCCATAATCTGGGGTGATGAAGCAATAGACATCATTTTTTAAGACACAGATTGAACTACTCCTTCGTAAATGAAAACAATTCTGAGCTGAAAAAAAAAAAAAAAAAAAAGAGTTATAGTGCCTAAAATTTAAATTAAGATTGTTATCGTACTCTTAGGAGTTCCAGGACAAGTGATATATTATCTGATTATTCCTGAGAATTTCATATACAGAACTAAAAGGAAAAAATATTTATATGATATAAAATGTATCTAAATGCTCTCTAGCTCTAAGCAAAATAGCTTTGATAGCTAAGAGTCCAGTTTCTCCGCCTAGGCTGGGGCTAATCGAAGGCGGGACTTATCCTCAGTGCTTTCTTGGTGAGGACTAACCAGAGGTGTGCATCTCCCAGTCTCACTGTGAGCAGGTTTCTTAGACGGTTCTACTGTCAGAACTAATTGCTCCCTGGTCTGGACCCCTATACAACTGAATCTCCCACACTGTAGTACTTCCACTTCCCCTGCTAGAGTACAAGCTTTTCAAGAGCAAAGATTGTTTTTGAAAAACAATGTGTTGACCAAATCGATTGTTCTCTCCTCAAAAGAACTGAATTGAAATGAGTAAAAATTCAATAGCCAAAGAATTACATTTAGATAAGCTCCTTGTATTTCTGTGCCTGGGGACAAAAGCAGCGGCTGTTTTCGACCGTGACTCAAAGTAAGAAATACATTTTACTTTCTAACACAGCACACGTATACATAGATCTATAAAACTGAAACAGAAATTTCGTAAAACAATATTTACTCTTAAAACATGACAAGCTCTAACATCTATTCCGGTCAGTTTTGTTCTCTTTAATAATGATGGTTCTGACCCATTAAAGCAATTTCATGACCCCTAATGAGTCACGACCCATAGTTTTAAAACATTGTGTTAATTAGAACCTAGAGCTTGGGGCGTCTTTATCAGAGAAGGTGGGAAAGTTGATGGAATCCTCAAACCAGGTGGAGCCCCCCAAAATGGCCATTATGTCTACTTGTTTACTTACTGTATAGGTTGCAGAATTATAAACTCAGAAATACTAACCCAGAAGCAAAATTTAGAGGACTCATTCTCCCTCTCAGAATATTTTTCATGTACAGATTACAAGATCTGTGTAAGGTCAAGTGAACAAAATCTTGAAGGATTTATTTATTTATTCAACAGTTTTATTGAGTCGTGTGTTTTAGGTGTTAGAGCGACAGAGGTACAATATACAAAGTCCCTGGCCTCATGGGATTTACATTTTAGTGAGGGACACAGAGAATAAACACACACGTGTCTAATATAATTTCAGGGAGTGATAAATGGTATGAAAGAAAAATAAAACGTGGGAAAGAGCTAGGAAGTAATGAGGATGAGGAAGGGCTATTTTAGACAGGGAGGCCCATGAAGGCTTCTCTGCAAAGGTGACATTTGAACAGAGTCTGAGCAAGCCACTTGAAGGTCTAGAAAGATGTATGAAGCAGAGGGAGTAGCCAGTGCCATTAGTGTGTTTAGTAAAGAAAGGGAGCTGTTAGGCAGGTGGCGTTGTCAGCAGGGCTAGTTCATCATGATATAGACGAACCGAACCATAGCGCTTTCCAAGGGAAGCCACCTTGAACACAGTCACTGGCCACCTGGCAGGTGTAGGCAGCCGTGGTTGTAACATGTCCCACACTCCTCTTCCAATAACCGTGTGGACCAGGTATGGACACTTGATCCTAGGTATCATAGATTTGTGATTGGTTTCAATAACTGAATAGAAAATAGGGGTTATAGTGTGTTATGGGTTGAATTGTGTCCCCCTCCACATTCATGTGTTGAAGTCCTAACCCTTAATACCTCAGAATGGGACCTTATTTGGAAACAGGGTTGAAGATATAATTAGTTCAGATGAGGTCCTACTGGAGTTGACCCTTAATCCCAAATGACTAGTGTGTCCTTACAAAAGGGGAAAATCTGGCCCTGGACAGTTTTGCTCAGCGGTTAGAGCGTCAGCCCATGGACCAGCAAGTTCCAGGTTTGTTTCCTGCTAAGGGCACGTACCTTGATTGCAGTTTGGCCCCGGGTGGGGACATGTGGATGGCAACCACTCGATGTGTCTCTCTCACATGGATGTTTCTCTCTCTTTTTCCCTTCCTTTCTCCCTCCCACTCAATCTCAAGATAAATGCAAAAAAAAAAAAAGTCCTCGGGTGAGGATGAAAAAAGGCGGTCAATCTGGACATAGTATGCATCCAGAGAGACACCCCGTGCGCATGACGGCGGTCACCTACAAGCCCCGGAGGCAGACCTGGATGATGCTCTCCCTCGCAGCCCTCAGAAGGAACTACCTCTGCCAATACCCTGATCTTGCCTCCAGAATTGTGAGATAATAAATGTCCGCTAATGAAGCCACCCAGCTTGCAGTGCTTGGTTACAGCAGCCGTGGTAAAGTAATCCGTCTGACCTGGGGAGGCGCTGGGTGTGTTGTGTGCAGAGAGATGGCTTCTACATGGACGAATCGCGGGACATGTGGCAGACTGCTCGCTGACCTACCCCTGCGGTAACATGTCCCGACGTTTTAGCTGAGACGAAGTACGTTGCCCCCTCTCCAGCGCAGCTGTGGGTGGCTACAGCCCTAAGTTCTGGCTGACGAGCTATAATCAGAGGTATCTGGTGGCGGCCTCCAGCAGACTTCCGTAAAAGATCGCTGGCAGCTGTCTTTTGCCCTTTTTTTCTGCATCCTTTCCTCCTTCCTGGTGGCTGCCACACAGATGTGATGGCTGTATTTAAACCAGGAGTGACATTGGGAGTGGAGGCCATGAAGGATGCAGGACCAGAATAAAAGGAATGTGGGTAATTAAAAGCTTTGTGGAGCAGAGTCGGCATGCCAGCACGGGACTGCCCACATCTGGACTTTGGCATGAACAAGAAATGGTCTTTTAGCTTGTCTGAACCACTGTTTTGTTCTGTTGGGGTGGGGGGCACTCTTACTTGCTGTTGAATATAATCTTAACCAACACAAGCATGCGGAGTGCAGACAGGAGAGAAACAGAACGCGGCGGGGGAGGGGGGAGCTTTCAGTATAGAGGCAGAAAAATCAGATTGAGAAGCAATAATCAAAGAGATAGGAAGAAAACCAGGAGAAAAGTATATGTGGAAAGGTAAGGACTATCTAAAAGAAGAGAGAAGCAAAGCATTAGATGTTACTGAATCGATGGATATAAGGACCAGGAAATACCTAAGGGCAGGCCTGTGTTTCTCAAACCTTAATGTGCATGAGAATCAGGTGGCATCTGGTGCCCACGCAGGATGAGATTCAGGAGGTCTGGGTGGCAGTTCCAGAAGGCTCTCAGGTGATGTCAGTGCTGTGAGTACACTCAGGGTGGCAAAGGTCTAGGCTAGGGTGAGTCTCGAAGTGGGGGGTTCTTGAGCCAGCAGCGCCAGCAGCACGGGGGAGCTTGGCAGAAATGCACATCCTCAGCCCCACCCAGACCTACTGAATTAGCAGCCTGGGGGGAGGGATAATTTAACAAGCCTACCAGGTGATTCTGATGCACTGTGCAGTCTGGCAGCACTGGTGAGCGCAATAATAATAACAATAGTAACTACCAGAGACATTGCTCACCAACTGTGGGCCAGGCCCTTTAACACTCTGCTTATGTTATCTTATTTGGTCATTACAACAATCTATTTTATCAGTGAGGAAACGCAAACTGAGAAGAAGTTCAGTGCATTGCCAAGGTCACACAAGGAGCAAGTGGTGGATCTGGAGACCACATCGGCTGACAGCTAGACCCATTCTCGAGCCACCTGCTGTTCACCTTCCAGGGCCAACAGTGAAGCTGTCATCATTAGTTTCAGCAGGGTGTGAAGACAGAAGCCAGGGTGCAGTAGCCTTGGAAGGGAAGAAATGGAAAAAGCGAGTGCAAAATACTTTTAAAAAAACTGACTTTGACAGAGAAAAGAGAAATACAATTAAAACTAGAATGTAATGGAGGGGGGTTTATTTGCTAGGTTCCTTGTTGTTAAGAGAGGAGCACTTGACGTAAAAGAAAAGAATACGGGAATGTGTTTGAATTTCCAAAGATCAAACCTGAGCACAATCAGGGGAGGAAGAATGAGGAAGGAAAGAGTATTGATTATACATGCTTTGAGGAAATGGGATATTTACCCAGGAAAGAGGAGAGACCTAGTTAGGCAGAATATAAGAGTGAACTCGGAAGATCTAGTAGGCTATTATATAGAAGGGGAACAAATCTTAGTTTTATAGCTCCAGAGAGTAGTCCAGGGGATGGAAGTTACAGGGGATAAATTTCACCTTCAAATGAGAAAGAATCGTCTAATGATTCAAGTTATTTGAAAACAGAATTACTTGCCCTTCAAGATGGTGATTTTCTTATTGCTGAAAGCAGTTAAGGAAAACCTATTTAACATCCCTGAGGCAAGTTGTGTAAGAGATTTCTGTGAATTCACTGAGGGGTTTTAACTCTGCTAAAAGTCTGTGCCGAGTTCCTGCACTGCCTGTTCCTTCCGTACACCAAGGCAGCACAGGGTGGTTTTCTCGGTGACGTTTACATCTTGAAGTCTTCCTGTTACAACTCACAAGTCATGGAGATAGAAAATAGGTGACTGCCTACATCTCTGGCGCTAGTAAAACAATTCATGGATTTGAAGTCATTTAAGTCATCAGAGGTTGTACATTTTCACTTTTGAAAAATGGATTCTGTTTCTAAGCCTTCACTCACTTTCCTTTTCCCAGATGATTTTGACTACACGAACAAGTGACTGGATTTTTCTGTGCTACACTGGAGCCCCCTCGTTATGTATTTTCAGCATTTCTGCCTTTAGCAAATTTCATTCAGAGCATTCTGCAAACATCTCCATGACTTACTAGGTAGAATGTCTCTTCTCCCATGTGATAGACACCATTATTTGCACGGCAGAGGAAATCATGTTTTGCAAATTTACGAGAAGCAGACCACAAAACCCACACATCTCAACAGATCCTCAATCGAACCCGTGGGGGCTCGGTGTGTTCTTTTTCATCACAGCCTAAAGACAGTGGTGTGAACTGAAGACTTCTGGTGTCTTTACTGTGGACAACCAAGCCATTGGAAAAGGAGTCAAAACTACAGTCCTCTGCCCTGCCAGAAGATGAACACTACTCGTCAAAGTAAGTGGTAGCTTCTGTGCCCTCTGGTAAAAGGGCAGAACAGAGACATGTGTGGGGGCTGCTGGAGAGGGACACCATCTGTCGCACCTGTTGTGGAGAACAGTTGATCCCCAGACTGTCTTGTAGATTGCAATCACGAGTTGGCGTTTACAGGGTTGCTGTTTCCTCCTGGGTTCACATGCATTGCTGTAGCAAGTGCTTTATAAAACTTGATTTAAATTCAGATTTTGAAAAGCTCCAAGTGACCAAAATCCACCATCTTTTAGGGTAAATTGAAGAAATAGGACATCAACCCTTTGTTTTTGGCTTGTGAATTTGGAAAGCTGGTTTCTAACATTACCCTCAGGTTTTCAACTTGAATCACAATGTGTGGGTTTGCTTTTGAGCAGAATGTCTTTACCTTCTCATACCTTTGTAGTATTTGATGCAATACAGTAATTAATAGTTAATTTATATGAAAGTATATGTATACATGTGAGTATGAATATTATATATGTGAAATTTTGGACTTTTATTTCTGAAGCTTCATATAGAAAGTGGGAATTCCACTTAATATATTGTCACATGATATTTGCATGCGTATATATTATTAGGAACATAGGAGAGAATGCAAAGAACATATACCAAGCACAGTCCATCCCTTTGACAAACTTTAAAGAGAAACAGTATTTTATATGGCAGTAATATATTGTCAGTATTTGCGTCCTTCTCACAGACTTGAAAGTCAATAAATTGACAAACAATATAGTCTAAAAAGAATTATAAGATTCTAGGGTGTCCCTTGAATATAATTCTAGGGTGTCCCTTGAATATAATTTGCTGGTGAAAACATACTAAAGTGTTTTCAAATGATACTATACTTATTTTTCTCACCTTTTAAAGCACCAAATAATCCTCAAATGAGCCTTTTAAATGTAATGCAATCATAGCATTTTAGCTAAATTAAAAGAATTTTTGAGAGTCATTATCCCTAAAAATATTACACTAGTTTGATAACTAGTGTAAACGGTGTAAAAGATTTCCTTCGTATTTGACTCCTGAGTAGTTCTGTGAACCACTTCATTTATTCTGTTTCTTGTTCTGAGGGAAGGAAGGAAAGAAGGGAACATTTTGCCTTTGGAAGTAGGGCTATTAACAGGAGACCACTAGGCGGCAGCATGGAACTAGGAACCAGGAGCTTGGGTTTGGGCCTGCCAGTCCCCAGCTGTTTCTTTCAGGGCCATCTACATGCTGAGCTTCAGCCCTGACTGGGTGGCTCAGTTGGCAATAGATGGGTGTTTCTCTCTCACATCAACGTTTTCTCTCTCTTTCTCTCCCTTCCTCTCTCAATAAACATATGCTTAGGTGAGGATAAAACAAACAACAAATGTTTTAAATAAATAAACTCTGAGCTTCGGTTTCCTCTTCAGAGCTGTGCCAGAATTTTTGATATATCTATTGTTATTGTTGTTTTTAGGATTTTGTTGCAACTATGACCCACTTGGAGGGCCCAACGTGCTGGGGGACATGGGGTGGGAACCCATGAGTCTAGTTGTTTGGGGGAAGGTGAAGCCTCCTGGGGACACTCCGGTCTAAGGACAATGGTTTGAACCAGGTGCAGTGAGAAGCTTGGAAAGGGAGGGACCTTGGAGAGAGAGTACAGCCAGGGGTGTGCTCCTTCCTCTGACATATAATGCAGGATGCTATGTGTTCAATTCTCAGGGAGAGCAGCACATGCAGGTAGATATCAGTGTGCTGATTTGTAAGAGGACTTTGCTGTGTCAGGGCTCAGAACACTCACATCTCTGGAACCGGAGCATCCTTCCCTTCATGCAGACAGGCATGAAAAGCCAAACAGCGGTCAGGAGGCTGCTGGGTGAGAACTGATGAACAGCATCTGCGTGCATCTTTCTCCCTGGACATGGTCTTGTTGGGACCAGAACTTGTGAAGTCTGATAGCGAAAACCCCCTTTCTGTTCTTGGTGTGGCATACACAGCTGCCCACCAGGGCCGTTTTATTGACAGGCTTTGGAAAACAGTGGTTATGTGTCTTCGCGAGAACTTGAATGCATGGTCCGTGATTTCTCTTCTGAGCTGTCATTTGTGATCCTGGGGTATCATCAAGCAGTAGCATAGCTGAATGGTCAAGGACTTCGGGCACTAGAGCCAGACTGCCTGGGTTCAGCCATGGCAGCTGGGCAAATTCCTTGATCATTCTGTGATGTCACCTTCTTCGTGTCTGAAATGGGTAGCATGGTCATATGTGGGTTCCAAAATTGTCATGAAGATTAAATGAGTTAACACATGAAGCATCTGACATACTTCTTGCCATATAGTGAGTACTTAAAGTTTAGCTATTTTGAGAATGGACTTGCCTTTCTCTTTGCAATTTTTTGTGGTCTTCACAAGTTTAATATAAGTAATTACTGTGTTTCATAACACGCTGATTAGTTAGTTGACATAGCCCATTTTTAACAGTAGTATTCTTACTATTGTAAAGAATCATAATACTAAAACAAAACTTTTTAAAAATGAATGAGCATGTATTTCTTAGGCACGAAAAAATAGTCGTTTTTCCCTTATTCACTGTTTCCCTTTCTACATTTTCGGTTCCCTGAAGTCAACTGCTATCAGAAAATATTAAATGGAAAATCCCAGAAATAAACAATTCACAAGATTTAAATTGGGGGCCATTCTGAGTACATGATGAAATTTTGTGGTGGTGTTCGCTCCATCCCACCCAGGATGAGAATCAGCCCTTTGCCCAGTGTCTCTATGCTGTAGACTCTCCCAGCTGTTACTCGGTTAGCAGCATCCTTGGTTTTCAGATCCATCACAATATTGCTGTGCTTGTGTTCAGGTGACCCCTATTTTACTTACTAAAGACCCCACAGTGATGCTGGGAATTTGGATTTGCCAAAGAGACGCCATAAAGTGCTTCCTTCCATGAAAAGGTGAGTATAGTGCAATGAGATGTTTTGAGAGAGAGACCACCCACATTCACATAACTTATTCCGGTATATTGTTATAATTGTTCTATTTGGTTATTAGTTATTGTTGCTAATCTTTTACTGTGCCTAATTTATGAATTAAATTTTATCATAGGTGTGTATGTTTAAGAAAAAAATATAATATATATATGATTCAGTACTATGTGTAGTTTCAAGCATTCCGTGGGGTTCTTGGAATGTATCCCCAATGGATAATGGAGGGCTACTTTATGAACACCTGGTTGAAGTCTTTTTCAACTAGAGTCATGGCCTTCAAAGAACGACAAACTGTTGATCACTGCCAGAGCTGTGCTGTGGAGAAAGAGCCTTGGGGACTTGTTTTGCATACATTGGCCAAGTCTAATGTGAGATTTTTGCTTAAGTGTGTCAGGAGGTGTCTGTGCTATCTTATTCCCATTCCCATGGGAGGTCAGAGTAATTAAGGAAGACAAATAGTCCCAAAGCACGGGGTAAAAGTCACAAAATAAAAATAGAGGACAATTTTAAACCCCACAAATGGAGCTTATTTAGCAATTTTAAGTAGATGCAATTGAATGTGCTTCTTTGCAGTAGTTTTTTGAATCATTTAATTCATGTAAAATATATTATTCAAAGCAATTTTTAATCTCATTGTTTAAGGGTTTAGGACTTAATAAGCAGAAAGCTAAAAATGTAGTTCAATGTGTAAATCATTTGTACAAATAATCGATAATAGGATTTATTGGAGAATATAATAGCCAGTATAGCACTTAATCTTGAGTAACTGAATAATTTGTGAAGGACTTCATGACTCTATAAGAAATTTATAATCACATGGTTAGACTTAGATCAGTGCCTTGGGTAATTTTAGGATATAAAATAATAAAAATATTACAGAATGAATTCTTAAAATTTGGAATATAAAGAGCTTGATTGATGCTGGAGAATCATTGTTTTAAATACACTTCTTTTAGCTGTCGGATATACCCATTGGCTTTTAGCGCCAGTTTGTAGTTAGAAAAACCCCCGTCACATTCCCTCTGTTTTCAGCGCCCTCTCCCACTGTTTCACCTGTCCGGAGTTGCACGTGTTTGCCAAGAGACTGCCACTAAAAACAAAATCAAAAATCAATGTTTGTTTATCATGTTTCTTAAAGCAACTGTGTGTGTGTGGTGCTGTGCAGCAAGTGGCATAAGAACTCTCCTTCCTGGTGACAGTAATGAGAATGGGCTGGTTCTCAGAGAAGGGTGCCCACGGGCACCCAGAGGCACCGCCTAGGGTCACAGTGCCTTCAGTGTGTCTCCACAGACAGTGGTCTGGCTCTCCGCTTAGTAGGTTTAGAAACTCAATTTGGTCCATGTATCTAGATAATCAGCCTCTTAGGGACTCACATTATGCATCAATCTGAAATGATTTGGTTAAATCAAAATCCCAATTCATTAGGTTGCAGTGAAGGAATGTGTAGCCTTCCCTGCTACCATATATCTAAGCGGGCCAGGACAGGCTCTCATTTTGCTTCCTGTTGTGACCAAGGTGCCTGGCTCGGTATTTTGCACACAGCAGCCATTCAGTAGGTAGGAACTAAATTTACAAAGGAAGAAGAGAGACAGAAAGGGAGTGAGACTAAGGAAGGAACATAATTCTGAGTGAAATCTCATCCAGATCATAAAAGCTCAGTATTCCATCTTGCCTCTCAGAAAACACAGGTGAGATATACTATTTCATACTTGTTCATACTAGTTCTTCAGAGTCCACTTTTCCCCCTTGAGAAAAATAAAATTAATTGAATTGTTTTGCCTTTTGGCTTTGATATTCAGCCTTCTTCATTCTCTGTGAAACTCGGTCTTCCTTCAGAGAGAGATTACACTAGAACTGATGCAGTCTCAGCATTTCCAGCTCAACTTTTCCAGCCCTACCTCCCAGAGACCCAACCCTGGTCAGCTTGCTCCGACTTCCCAAATCTCCTGGGTGCATGTTCACAGATTGTGCCTGTGTTCCTGGAGGTAACCTCTTCCACATTCAGGGCCCCTTCTTCACCTGTAAGAATATTCCACAAACAGCACCTGAAAGAGGAGCCAGTGCTCCACTAGTAGGTCATATATTTCAACACCCCCCCCCCCCCACACACACACACACACAAGGTAATAAGCAAAAAAGAAAAAGGACTTTTTATATCCAATTCATAAATGTCTGTATATGAACCAAATTGCTACCTGTGCCTTCAGAATGCCCCACATGTGTTGACAGTACAAATCGCATCCTGTCTGACTTCTGGGGCCCAGGGTTGTGCAACCGTTTTCTAAGTGAAAAAGTTAAACAGTCTAACGATTCCCTCATTCTAATTGTTGGCCCAAATCAGGACCATGCAGACCTGAAACAAAGAACCACTTAACGAACAGCCCGAGGCTTCCATGGTTGATCAAGTCCCTGAATAACTCCACCTGCTTCCAAGGAGGCAGAGACCAGATGGAGTCTCCTGGGTGATGCGAAGGAATCTCGCGGCCTTTCCCTGTCCTGGGTCACAGTGAACTGGGGAGTCGGACTTCTTTTCTTAGCTTTCTTTCCCAGCAAATGCCTAGGGAAAATTTCCCTGTTACGGCTGTTACTATTATCTTTATTATTAATGCTAAAAATAGGAAGATATTTTTGAGAATTTTGACCATTGTGATGATGCTAGTAATTACTTCTGGCAAGCAATCAAGTCTGCTCTGGCCAAGCCTTTTCCTAGTATTTGACAGATATGAACTCATTTAATTTTCAGAACAACTCTGTGAAGTTGTATCTTTCTCATTAAACAGGTGAGGAAGTTGAGGCCTGGAGGGTTCAGAAACTTGCTTCAGATCACACAACAATAAATGGCATAACCGGTCTTCTTAGACTCCAGAGCCTACCTCTCAACTAGTACTTTTGTCCTCTTCTAGCTTTAATCCCAGGAAGGTACTTAGTTGCATAACACATACTAACAAAAGAAATCTCAGATTTCTAAAAATCTCATTAGATTGCTTTTTTACATGGACCCTTTGCTCAATTCTGACTTTCCTGGTGGCAGGTAAGTAGCTCTCACCTACCGTTCTGCTCTGCTAAACTTTGTATCCCTTTAGGATGCTCATCCCATCCTATTAAAGGGGAGGAGGAAGACTAGGAGAGGTAGAAGATAAATCAGTTATTTGTGTTACCAGAACAGCTTCGGGTGCAGTTGAGAGACTTTGAAACTGATGCATAAAATTAAGCTTCAGGATTCTCTACTTCTTTAGTACTGCATTCATCTGGATGTAATGAGATGAGTTCAGCCAGTAGCCAAATCCCACTTAACAATTGTGGTGTTAGTATTAGGAAGAAAAACTTCATGTATTATACCGCTGCCATTGTTGCCCTAAGAACATTTGCTTTATCTTTTCTTTTTATGTTTGGAATTCTGTAAATATAATTTACGAATAGCATTTAATTAGTATGAAATCATAGTTTTCCAATTTCACAGTATTGACTCGTATTTTTAAATGTTTTTACAGGCAAGCTAATATATGAATTCTTTCATATCTTTTGCTTTTGTATGATTTTTCAGAAATTATTGATATTAACAGAAAGATATGCAGACAAATGAGAGTCTATCCTATTTTGAATGGTGCCTAGAGGAGATAAAATTTCTTTTCTAAAAGTTTCAGTGTTCATTGAAGGAATTACTCTCTAATATCTAGTTCCTGTTCCTGAGGGTGAGTTGCATTTTCTCCAGCTTCATACCCTTGGAGATGGAGAATAGTTTGTAATAGGAACAGGAAGGGATTCACTTACAGTCTATGAAATATTATGAGTTTTAGATATATGGAGAAGACCCAGCAATTAAATTTTAATTGACCTCCAGATTTGGACAGCAATCAAAGATTTTTCTCTATAGTAACAATTACACACACCACTGATCTGATATCAAATATTTATGTCTCCCCCTGCGTGCTAGAGAACTAGCATTTTGCTAGTTACTGTTATTACCAGGGCAATTCAATAGAGGGCAAAAGAGACTAAAAATGTCATTTCACAGTGGAAACTGTAAGAGAAAGTAATAACAAGCCTGGAAAAGATTAAGTACAATTGGAAATGAGTCTAAACTGAAATAAAATACTGTATTTGAGTGACTTTTTTTAGGGCTATAATTTTAACCTCTACCAAAGAATTGTTGTTTTGCCTATTCCTGAAACACACACACACACACACACACACACACACGAAGACAAAGACAAAGAAGCCTGATGCTAGCTGGAAAACAAAAGCTCTTCCTCATTTCCTAAAAGTACTTTCTTTTCTAGAAGTATGGTTTAAAGAAGACTCTTTCATTATGCCTTGGGGAAAATGTAACCATTTAAAAAAATGAAATAGAAATTATACTTTCCTTTGGAAAACATTGTTTCTTTTGTTGTTGCAATGTAGAAAGCAGTAACAGAGTAAACTCTGCCTGTGCAGGACCCCATCAAACACTTCCAATGGCTCATCCACCTTAAAGGACTAGAGCTCTCTTCACATTGCCATCATTAATCACCGCTACTATGGTCACCACGTTACGAATTGCTATACTGTAATATCTTTGGGGGTACAATCTTGCAGCAAATTCCCCCAAATCAGGTACTTTTCAGGAACTATTACAGAGGTGCCCTTGAAGAATTTATGATTTAGTAACTTGCATTAAAGTATTATATTGCCATTCTTTCATGATGTTATTTCTTTTCTGCTGACATTTCTGGTGCTTTTATTTGGTTCCAGGGAAGCCGTGAAATTCTGTTATTTCTTCCCATTTGGCTCCAAATTGCACCCCAGCAGAACTCTCCAGGATCTCTTCGATCTCCACCGGGGCCTCTGAACGGGGGCGGCTGCAATGAGGATGCGGTCCCTCGGAAAAGTGCTTGTATAATCCAGAAGGGCAGACGGGACCAGAGACAGGAGAAGATAACTGGTAACAGAAAGCAGTTCTGAATGAATGATGTGCCTGGACAGAGTTCAAAAGAAGGAGAGAACACTGGGTGTGCTGGAGACTGGAAGGGCTTCATGGAGGAGGCTCTGGGAGGGATAAGGTTCTCTGGGGGCAGAGATGGGAGGAAAGTTGATCTCCAGATGATGTGTAAAAGTAATGTGAAGGCCGGCAGGATGGAAGGAGTAAGGATGCTCGTAAAGCTGAAAATACATGTCTGTGTGTGACGGGGGTTCATGAAGACAATAAATAGGTGAGCCCTAGACAGTGTGGCTCAGTGGATAGAGTGTCAGCTGGTACACCAAAGGGTAGTGGGTTTGATTCTAGTCAAGGGCATATACCTGGATTGCAGGTCTAATCCCCTACCCCGGTCCGGGTGCATGCAGGAGGCAACCAATTGATGTGTCTCTCTCTCTAATGGATGTCTCTCTCCCTCTCTTTCCCTTTTCCTTTTCTCCCTCCCTCCTTGCCTTCTACTCTCTCTAAAAATCAGTGGAAAAAAATATCCTCAGGTAAGGATTAACCAAAAAAGAAGAAAGAAAAAGAAATAGGAGATAAGGAGAAAAAAAGTTGTGACAGGCCTTGAATGTCAGGCTAGGAGATTTGAACATTATTGTCTATTTGTGTGGGAGTTGTTGAAGATCTCTGGAATAGCGAAGTAACAGGATAAAGGTGGTATTTTAGGAAGATTAATATGGGAGCAAAGTGCAACACAGATGTGAGAGGAGCGGGAATTCCCGCCCCAGAATAGGAAGACATATCAGGAATTCCTATAAAATACAAGGCATCATTCATTCATTCATTACCAAGCAATTACTGAGTGTTCATTGTGTGATAGGCAGAACTGTAGGCCCCAGGAATATAATAATTAACATGGTGGGTCCAGATTTTGTAGGGACTGAAGTTAAAACAATTTGCAGGGCCTTCTTTAAGAAAAAAATGTAAAATTAAATATAGGGAATATAGGATTTTATCATTTACTTAAAAGATAAAAAATAAGTAAATAAAAACAAACAAAATTTGCCACATTATAGAAATGGTAGTTTTAAATGGACATGGTAGTTTTTACCCTTTTTTTAAAAAGAAATTAATCAATATTTCTTTCTTTGCCAAGAATACGCAAACATGGTTTATTCCTTTTTTATCCTAAGATATAGTTTCAAGAATCTCTATTTATAGAAGTGATTGGGGGTGGGGGGACTTTTTTAAAAATGCCATTTCCCTTAGTCTTCCTGATTGACTCTTCTGTATTAGCCAACTTGAACCAAATAGTTTGCTGCAATGTACTGCCTTTAAGATATCTCCTCTGAGGGATTTGGCAAGGAGATGGTGATTTTATTTAAAGTGGCTGTTTTTTCTCTTTCTTCTGTAACTCATTTAATAAGTAATTCACATGAGTCACAAGGCCAGGCTGCCAAAAGTTTGAGATATTTCCAGGAAAACTGGGTAGGGTGGGGTGAATATCAGAATCTATAAGAAGAAAAGTTAAAAAACAATACCCCTATGTTTCTGAGTTGACACACAATTCCAGTTGCTTACTCCTAAACTCAAGAAAACGTTGTTGTTGTTCTGCATTGCAGAACTGGTGTTCTCTGGCTTCTGTATGTAAGAGGCAGTAGCATGAAATTGGATTCAAGCATATCTGAGTTTGAATTCCTGTTTCATCATTTACTAGCTCTGCCAGAAACTACTAACTGATCTAAGTACTCATTGTCAACTTATGTTTAGTAATAGCAAATAGTAAGTTTTATTAGGGTACAAGGCTGCCCAGGCATAGGTTACATTTCCCAGCTTCCCTTGCAGCTAGGTGTGGCCAAACAGTCAGGTTCAGGTCAGTGCAATGTAAGCAGAAAGGATCTCTTCATCTCCTTCAGAACAAAGCTACTTGTTCACAATGTTGTCCTTCCCCACCTTTTGTAGGCTGGAATATAGTAGTGACCAAGCTTTAGCCGTGCAGGATATGACAGTGCAAGATGAAGGGAACCCGGGTCCTGGAGTGATCTCATGGAGCAGAGCTGCTCTCACAACCTGGAATGCTCACATTGGGGCTGTTAAGAAATAAGCATCAATTTAATTAATTAAGCAGCTATATTTTGTGGTCTTTTTATTACAACAGTTTCAAACTATAACCTGGAAAACACACTTAAGCGCCCTCTGTGTTTAACCCTTCTGACTCTCCATTTCTTTTTCTGTAAACTGAGCATAATGTCCATCTCACATCCTGGTTGTGAAGATTAAATGAGAAATGCATGGGAGGACCACATGAGAGGTGCATGATAAATATTTGTTTTCTTCCCTTCATGTGGGAGCATGTGTTTTATGTATCTTTTCAGTGAATATAGAAAACACAGACATTTTATGTCAAGCTGCTGAATAATGTGATTCACACTGTACTGGGGACACTCACTCGAAGACAGTCCAAGTGTTGTTTGAATAAACTCAGGAAATAACCACATTAATCAGATGAAATCTAGTTGATCCAGCAACAGTTCCCCCATTAAATCTCTAGTACGCAGCCCAATGCCTGGCGCAAAGTGGGCCCTTGATAGATATTTATGGAAAGAACAACTACTCAGCCACAGACCACTGGGAGCAGAGGGTGTGAGCGCCCAGGATTCTGAGTGATGACTCTCCTGCTGTGAGCACTGGTTGGCATTAATGCACCAAAAGGACCTAATAGATGCAGGACGCACGGATAATGATGCTCAAACGTTTTAACGAGATGATAAGCTTCTGGAGGGCCAGTTCTGTGTCCTGTTTTCTGCTATATTCCATGTGTACAGCACATAGTAAGACTAAGTATTTGTTGAGTGAGAAGAACATTGATATACATGTGAATTAGCCATTTTTAGCTCTATCACTTCCCTCTTCAACTCTTAGCCCCGCCCCAGTGAATGAGGAAACTGGCACAAGTGGAGCTTCTTGCCCAAGACGACACCGTTCAAATAAGTAGCAGAGTCAAGATTCCAACCCAACGCAGGCCTTACTGGGTGCTTGGAGGTCTTTCCGCTTGAACCCAGGTAGCCGATCTTTCCTGAGAGCAGACTTTGAGACAAGGAAGATGTTTGTGTACCATGGACAAAGAAAAGCAACACAAAGGAGAAAGGGGAAATTGGGTGGTTGCATTACCTGTTTTGTGGTTTTGCAGATTTACCTAGATAATACACAACCCACAGCGGTGGTCATCACTTCTTGCTTCTCAGATGGTATAAACAGTTCTAAAGGACCCCTCCCATTTTCTTCCACCAACCTGAGGTGTAACTAGAACTTTTAAATTCCTATAGGGGAAAAAGTTTAAATAATGTTTTAAAGACTCTGTGAAGCAGCCAGATTAACAAAGCTCCAGCCTTCAGCCCTGGGTGCTGTTTACACTGGAGAGGAGAAAAGGGGAAGCTGCCAGCAGGGTTATCATGTGCCAACTAGCTGACTCTCGGTGCCCTGCACTTTGCAGCACAGACATCAGAGCAACAGGGAGCCCCTGATCCCGAGCCAGATAACTCTGCTCTTCAGCAGGGGGCAAGCAGGCTGCTTCCCCAGGGCCTGGGTGGCTGAGGAGCTGACTCGTCGGGGCTGGCTGAAGATGCCATTCTGAAGAAGACAAGGTTTCCCCCCGCAACATACTTCCCCTCCAAACATATCTACACTACATCTGTTTTTAGAGGCATATTGTTTTTTAGCAACTGTCTGATAAGAAAGATATTAGCCAACTAGGTTTTAGTTGGATGCTTTTACAGGGATATTTGCATATTTAAAAAGCGGGTGAGGATGAAACATTTCAAGGATCCTATTATAGTCTTTTTTTTTTTTTCTGTTTAGATTTGAAAATGCTTCCTCCATTGTATCTCTGGACTATTGGCTAACTTGAAAAATAGAAACCTGTGATTGGGCATCCTTCTTATTCTTCTCAGAACCCACTCACCCCCAGTAAGATAAATTCATAGTTATTTGTATTAAACAGTGTGTGTGTGTGTGTGTGTGTGTGTGTGTGTGTGTTTCCAGGTTTAGAAAGTTTCTACAAGTATTTGGTCTGAGATGCCCATGATAATGTTTACTTAATTAATACTTTTGAGTAATTAATACTTTTTTCCCTCCTGCCTTTATTCTTTCTTTTTATCCCTTCTTTTTTTCTAAGCTGTATCACAAAGGTGGACCACGTTCAGCGTTGGCATTTGGAAACGATGTCAGTCCCCTTCTGATTCTAACCCTGGATCTGGAGAAGAAAGATGTTTTTAGGATTTTGTCATCCTGGGTCTAAACTTGTGAACACTCTTTGGTGAGAAGCGGTAGCCACAAAGGACAGTAGTAGAATTTGCCTTCGATCTGACGTGTCTCTGGGCCATGACTGTGTCTAATACACGGGTGCTTGGCAGCCACACACTAATCAAGGCCACACTCACATCTAACCCAGTGGTGGAGACAGATATAGACAAGGAAGTCTCTGCCACTACCTCAACTTTGTGTCATTTGAGGTTTGGACTAGATCCTGATAGAAAGAAATTGTTTGCAAATCAGGAAATATAATAAGGGAACAGAAATGCACTGAGAGAGAGGGAAACCTTGGGGTGGACTGAGGCTTTCGATTGCTGACTTTGTGAACAAGGGAGAAAAATTAGAAGCCAGAGACATGAAACGTACAGGCCTTTGTAAAACAATGCGAAACCTCTTCATAGTTTTCTTGTTGCGCTATGTACGGAAGACGGGTGTGGGGGTGACAGGGAAGGACAGGTCGGGCAGCTCAAGGAAGGAAGAGAGAAGGGAAGCCGACTCAGGTGTGAGAGATTCCTTGTGAAGTAGAAACTATGTTCCTTCTCTTCACAGCCCATTTTTAAAATGTGGTCCACTTTCTACTTGGAGGGCGGAGAGGTGGAGCATCGAATGGCTGGTAAAACCAAACTAGGCTGACCTTGGTACTAAATGGGTGAACACTACATTTCCTTAGAAATAATTATAATCCACAGGTAGAAAAATACGGAACATTCCTGGAAGTCATTCAAATGTATAAAAATAATGCATTTACGACTATTTAAATTACTAGACAAAATTTAGTATTGGTTTAAAGCCTTTTTATTAGAGTTATGTTGCTTCGCTGAGCTCTCATTTTGGAATCCAGGAGATAGGCAGTAACCCCTACTGACTACTCAGGTCTTCCTTCCCCCAGAGCCAGCAGCAGCTGAGAATCCACCGCAGCACAGCCTCCGGGGGCGGGGTGGGGGCGGGGTGGGGGCGGGGGCGGCGTGCCTCAAGAACAGGCAGTCCCACTTTGCGGTGAACACAAGAGGCATCCCTGGCTTCATTGTCGGGCCAAACAAGAGACACTTTCCGGTGTTTTAGAGATTTTGTAATTGTTTCACAAAGAGATACCGCAGTGTTTGTTTGTTTTATGCTGCTCTTATTGGAGCATAGACTATAGAAAGGTCCTAGCACAATGTTTTATATTCCCAAATCCAGTGGAAAAGAGGATCCCACCTTCCAGTACAGGTAAGACATGCTTTGTTAAAGACAAGCAGAATTCATTTCAGGAGGGCCTCTGAGAGGCTTTGTGAATCCCTAAAGGGGCACCATGTAGAGCATTTCCCTAATGTATTTCATTACCAAACTATTTTCTTCAAAATTTTTTTCTTTTAACCAGGTCATATCAAAGGACTGGAATACTAAACTCAAAGGCTTCCTTAGAGGTTCACTGTGTCACTACCTCAATGAATGTTTACGAGACCAGACAGCAGTACTTAATAAGCACCTATTATGCACCAGGCACTGTCTTGGCTGTTGAGTATATGGAGGTGAAAGAGACAAAATCTTTGTCTTCAGTAAGCTTACCTTTACTGAAGAGAGACAGGAAACAAACAAAGTATCACAAGTGCAACGAAGGAAATAAAAGAGTCTAATGTGACCCATCTGAGCTGAAAGCTAAATTAGAAAGAGGAAGGGGCTGTTCAAAGGTTGGGTGGAATCTTTTGAGAAAGGAAGAACAGCATATGCAGACCTTGACATGGACATCTATCTGGCTGGGGTTCAAGATCATGTGGCTGGAGAGGTCCCACAAGGGGAGCGAGGAGATGAAGAAGCATGCTTTCTCAAGCTCGAGCCAGTAGTAAGCCACTGGAGCCTCTTCTTTGGTGTTTGTTCATTTGTTTTCAATTTTTTTACTTTTTATTTTGAAGTACTTTCAAAGTTACAAAGAATATGCAAAAATATACAAAGAACTCTCATACATCTTTTACCCAGGTTCCCCTACAAATCTATGGTACAACCATCTAAAATTTAGGAAATTAATATTGATATAAACCTATGGCCTAAGAGATCCCATTTAATTTCTGCAATTATCCTAATAATATCCTTTATAGCAAATTTTTTTTTTCTTTTGGTACAGGATCCAATCTAGAATTGTAGGTTGCATGAATTCTTATATATTTTTTTAATCTACTTCAATCTGAAATAGTTCATCAGTCATTCCTTGTCTTCTGAGACATAGACATTTTAAAAGGTTGCAGGCCAATTATTTTGCAGAATGACCTTCAGTTTGGGTTTCTTTGATGTCTCTTCATAATCAGATTTATTATATGCCTGTTTGGTAGGAATTTCACAGAAGTTATGCTGTATTCTTCTCAGGATGTCATCAAAAGGCACATGATGTTAATTTGTCCCATTTCTAGTGATATTAATTTTTATCTAGGTGATGTCAAAATTAATGAGATTTCTCCACTAGAAAGTTATTATTTTTTACCTTTGTAATATATTGTTTTATGAGGGAAATGCTTTGAGACTATATAAATATCAAATTCCTCAAACTTTCACCCCTGGTTTTAGCATCCATTGATGCTTCATGTCTGAATCATTATCATGATGGTTGCCTGGTGGTGATGTCCCAATTTCATCATTCCTTCAACATTTATTAGTTCCATTCCAATGGAAGGAAAAGTTTTCCATTTCCCCCTGTTTATTCTTTCATCCATCCATCCATTCATTCATATTTGTGTGGACTCATGGATTCCTATATTCAATGGGTTATAATTTGTTACTTCATCATTGCTTTGGATGCTCAAATTGTCCTAGATTTGGCCAGTGGGAGCCCCTTCAGGACACATCCTGTGTCCTTCTAGTAGGTCTTCACCATTTTCAGCTCTTCTTTACTTTCTGCCCAATCTCTCTCCAACTTTCCAGGCTCCTCTTGTGCTTCTGCAGCCTCAACCCTGGAATCAACCATTTCTCCCAGGATCTCTGGTTCCTTTTAGTGGGAAGTGGTATTTGTAAACCAAGATCTCAGTGCTATGTGTGGTCATAGTCATTAGGATGTTATTTCTTCAAGACCCTCTCATTGAAAAGAGTTAAGAAATACACACACACACACACACACACACACATAAAACATATACATATAACATATATCTTCATCTATTTCTATATTTCTATATCTAGCTAGCTATATATGTTTATATACACACACACACATACATATTTTAAAATACCATGATTTCTCTAATACCTCCAATTCCAATCAAAACAAGACTCATCCTAGCCTTCCCTTTTTCCACATTGTAACTTATTTGCTCATTTCTCCTTTAGGTGGCCAATCTCAACCCCACCACCACTCTCTCAACTTTGGAATGCTTCACCCTCCAACCACCTCAGCTTTGACTGTGTCCTTGGTCCCCGCTCTTCAGGCCCTGCCACCATGGCTACCACAAAGAAAAGGAAATGGAAGAAAATCAGTAAATATCTTGAAAGAAAATAATAAAGACAGAGACAGGAACAAAACAGAAAAACACTTAAGCATTTTTTCCCTTTTAAAAAAGTAAAATTTAAAACATACAAAAAATAGAGAGAATGGTATACTGACCCTTCCCATCTCCAAACATTGACAATCCTTAGCCCTTGGCCAGCCTTATTCAATTAACACCCCTAGGTCCCCCCCCCCCCAGATTATTTTGAAACAATAATACTTGAAATCATAGTATTTCATTTACAAACACTTTTATATGCATATCGATGAAGTACAGAAGAGGAAATGCTATGTGAATTCTGAGACTGAGTAATCGAAAGGGTAGAGCTTCTTCAGTTTGGCGCTGGCTCGCTCTCTCTTTCTCTCTCTCTCTCATACTGTTCACCTTTTTTTAAAATCTTATAAACATTTTATTTTTTAAATTAATTTATTTTTGTTACAGATGTTTCTCCTTTTCCCTCCCAGACACCCTCCTTCCTATCCCGCCCCCAACCCCACCCCAAACATTTTTGTCAATGTCCATTGCATATAAGTTCTTTGGTTTATCACACCCTTCCACCCCCTCTTCTGAAGTTTGTCAGTCTGAACTGTACAAGATGTTCACCTTTTGAAGCCAAATACTACATTGTGAAAAAGCTAAGATCACATGGAAAGACCATGTATACATTTCAGCAGATTGCTGACAGCCATCATTAACCATTACACATGTATGTTGAATAGGCCTTCAGATGGTTCCAGCCTTCAGTGTTTGAACCTTCCAGCTGAGGCTACAGATGTGGAAGAGAAACCATCTCTGCTCTAACCTGTCTGAATTCCTGACTCACTAAAACCACAAGAGGTAATAACTGTTGTCCGACCATCTATAAAATTTCAGATGCTTCCTATATAAAGTAAGTTATTCATACAAGGTCCCTCTCCCCAGTAGAAAATCCCTTCCTTTGACATTCCAACATCAATCAAGACTCAATTACAACAGAAGGGTAGACAGTACACACAAGGGGTGCACCTTGAGGGCCCAGTTGGGATGATCGGGGAAGCTGTGCCACTGGACCCTACAGGACACCTACTACAATAGGCAACCCTACAAAGCCTAGGAGACATAGCAACTCCACCTAATACATAGAAACAAACACAGGGAGGTAGCCAAAATGAGAAGACATAAAATCATGTCCCAAAGGAAAGAACAGAATAAAACTCCAGGAAAAAAACTAAATGAAATGGAGATAAACAATCTAACAGATACTGAGTTCAAAATATTGGTTATAAATTTGCTCAAGAACTTCATGAGGATCTCAAGAGCATAAAAAAGGACCATTCAGAAATGAAGGATGCACTAACTGAAATAAAGAGTCATTTACAGAAAATCAATAGTGGAGTAGGTGAAACTGAGAGTTAAACCATCTATTTGGAATATAAGGAAGCAAAAAAAACCCCAACCAGAACAGCAAAAAGGAAAAAGAATTTTAAATAATGAGGACAGTGTAAGGAGCCTCTGGGACAACTTCAAGCATACCAACATTCGCATTGTGGGGATGCCAGAAGGATAAGAAAGAGAACAAGAAATTGAAAAACTATTTGAAAAATAATGACAGAAAACTTCTCTAACTTGGTGAAGGAAATAGACATACAAGTTCAGGAAGCACAGAGTCCCAAACAAGATAAACCTAAAGAGGTCACACCAAGACACATCATAATCAAAATGCAATAGGTTAAAGAAAAAGAGAGAATCTTAAAAACAGCAAGAGAAAAGCAGTTAATTACCTACAAAGGAGCTCCCATAAGACTGTCAGTTGATTTCTCAAAAGAAACTTTGCAGATCAGAAGGAAAAGCAAGAAATATTCAAAGTGATAAAAAGCAAGGACCTACAACCAAGACTACTCTACCCTGCAACACTATTATTTAGCATTGATAGACATATAAAGAGCTTCCCAGACAATAAAAAGCTAAAGAAATTCATTGCCACCAAACCAGTATTGTATGAAATGGTGAAGGGTCTTCTTGAAGAAGAAGATAAAAAATATGAACAATAAAATGGCAATAAATACATATCTATCAACTACTGAATCTACAAACAAAATGAACAAGCAGAACAGAAACACACTCATAGATACAGAGAACTTTTTGTTGGTTGCCAGATGGGAATGGGGTTGGGGGAATGGATGATAAAGGTGAAGGGATTAAGAAGTACAAATTAGTAGTTAGACTGAGGAACTTTAAAGGAGACGGCGGGGGTGGGGGGTGGGGGAATGGAAAGAGATAAACCAAAAAACTTATATGCATATATGCATAACCAATGGACACAGACAATAATGTGAGGAAGGCAGGAGGGTGGTGGGAGTGGGGAGAAGGGCGTCAATGAGGGAAAAAAGGAGGGACATCTGTAATATTTTCAACAATAAAAATAAGTTTAAAAAAAGAAAATACAGAGAATTAAAATATAACTAAACAATTAGGTAAACATTAACAGTAAGGTATATTAAATACTAGCATGGAGAAATACAGGATGTTTTGCAAGTATATAACAGAGGCATTCAGTATAAACTGGGGAACATCAAGGAAGTCTTTCATAAGAAAGCGAAATTTAAACTAAGACCTGGTGGATAAATGAAAGCCAGTTCAAGATAGGGGAGCCCTGGCCAGTTTGGCTCAGTGGTTAGAGCATCAGCCTGCAGACCCAAGAGTCTTGGATTTGATTCCTAGTCAAGGGCATGTACCTTGGTTGCATGTTTGATCCCCGGCCCTGGTTGGGGTCATGCAGGAGGCAAGAAATCAATGTGTGTCTCTCACATACATGTTTCTCTCTCTCTTTCTCCCTCCCTCACTCCTTCCACTCTATATCAAAATCAATGGAAAAATATACTCATGTGAGGATTAACAACAACAACAACAAAAGATGGGGGAAAGGTGGCCCAGGTAAAGAGGACAGCATATGCAAAATCTTGAAGGTATGACAGAGAATGAAATCCCAGCTGAAGGTTATGAAAGCATTGAAGATGCTGAAGAAATGTTGAGAATGAGGCTTGAGATACAGATAGAGGCTCAAGTAATGGATTTGAAAGGAGTCATTTAACCAGATTTTCATGTCAAGATCACAGCAGTGAGAATGGACTGGAAAGAGTAAGAAAACACGTAAGGAGACTTTAGCAGCAAATTAGGTAAGAAGTAGTCCCAGCAATCCCAATAATTCCACACCACCACAATACACAACTTTCTGATCGAACCACTTTTTCGAGTCATGTTCTCACAGCCCTGTCTTTCGGATGCTGTTAGCGTCCCCTGCCCATAGCATCAGCCCCTTCTCTTTTTTCTGTCTGTTGACTTTACCTGACAAAACCCTACCTTAGTTATAGCCATGTCCACCTGTTTGATACATGTACCTGAGTAGCAGAATGTGACTGGAAGAAAATATATGACAATGCTGACAGGTTTCAATTTAAATTCATGACCTCATGTAGGTCTTTGGTGTGATCTTATTATTTCCCTAGTCCATTTACTTTCCAGCTGTCCTAGATAACTATTCCAAACCTTCTTTCTGTTTAAATCTCCCTCCACATCCTCATCATCTACTCGTGACCTTTTTTTTTTTTTTTCTATTTTACTAAGAAAATAGAAATTGTCCAAAGATAGTTTCTGGTCCTTGAGGACATTATGTAAATAAAATAAGCTAGTCACAAAAAGACAAACACTGTATGAGTCCACGTATATGAGATGTCTAAAGTAGTCAAACCCACAGAAACATGGAGTAGGATGCCAGTTTCCAGGGGCTGAAGGGAGGGGGAAATGGAGTTGTTCAATGACTATAGTTTCAATTTTGCAAGATGAAAGAGTTCCAGAAATCTGTTGCACAACAACGTGAATATATCTAACACTACCGAACCATACACTTAGAAATGGTTAAGAAGGCAAATTTTATATTATGTTTTTAGAACAATGTTTTAAAAATACCTTCCAATTTTTAGTCTGACCCACCCTAAGCTAGGTGTACTGCACCCACCCCAAGTTTCCTGTCCCTGCCACTTCATCCCCACATCACCAGGGGGTCTGCCACCCTTTCACATTCAAGCAGAGGCATCAGTGAAAACAAACCAGTGATGTGTGGATGGAGCTACTACCCTAATAAAGCTCCAGGGCACAAAAGTGAACATATCTGGTGAAGAGTCTTAGAGCTCTTAAAGACTGCACCCCAAAACTGCAGAAGTTGCCAAGTGAGACCATCACTGAGCAGCTAATGAGAACCTGAACAAGTTGTGGAGGATACAGAGCAGAACGCACCCAAAGGAGGACTGGCCAATCCAGCATATGGAGTGACAAAGATCCATTACACTGACCAGAATCTATGCCAGGAAATTGAATGAGCAGAGGAAATGGGACATGCATGCTGCCCAGGGTAGGTAACAACTGACCTGGTGGGACCCAATGCCACCAAGGCCCAAAGAAAGAGCAGAGACCCAAATATTTGGCCCTTTCACCCCCAAGTAAAGAGGGGCCTCAGGGAGAGTGTGGGAGGAAATTTAATGTTGAGCTGGACTCACAGCTCCATTCTCGGGCACCATTTTGTTGTCTGTCCTGATTCAATCCAAAGAACATTTCAGACTTGTCAATAACATTCCTCTGTTATTGACAGAATTACAGCTCAAAACTGCTGAATGGCCCTGGCCAGTTTGGCTCAGACGTTAGAGCGTTGGCCTGCGGTCCAGAGAGACCTGGGTTTGGTTCCCGCTAAGGGCACGTGCCTCAGTTGCAGTTTGTCCCTGGCCCTGGTTGGTCGTGCAAGTGGCAGCCACTCGATGTGTCCCTTTCGCATCAATGTTTCTCTCTCTCTTCCTCTCTCTCTCTCCCACTCTGTCTGAACAAAAATGGAAAAATGTCCTGGGGTGAGGATTAAAAAACAAACAAACTGCAGAATGTACATTCTTCTGAAGTGCACACGGAACATTCTCAAAGATAGATCACATGTTAGGACACAAACTAAGTCTCTACAAGTTCAAGAAGACTGAAATCATATCAAACATCTTCTCAGAT